TCCTACCTTTTGGTTAGCAATCCAGCACTTAACCATTGCGCCTCCAGGGCTCCTTTTAGAAGTATTTTACCAATGCTAATTTCTTAGTTTTGAAAAGTGTTATTATGATTATATAGAATATTAGTATTAGGGGAAGCTGGGTGAAGTGTATGCAGGAACTCTGTACTATCTTTGCGAAGGTTTTCTAAATCTAAAATTATGCTAAAATAAAATTTATTAAAATATAATTTACGGATCTCCACTTGGTAAGTAGTCTATAACAAAGTCTTTAACAATCAGTCTTCTCTGTATGTGGTTGCCTCTGTTAATGTAATAGCAAAAAGATATCTTTGAAAATACCACATCTACTTTTTCTTATCTGTAATCAACTTTATTCTGTAATACCATTCAGACTCTAAATGGAAGCACTTACATGCTTTCTGACCCATTTTTAACTTATAGACAATAACAAAGTAATATAAGATGGGCATTCCAACCAGCGTGTACGTGTGCTTCCATGAATGTTATAAGACTTCTTTTGACACCACAAAGCTTCCTCAGCTATAAGCCTTACTCTGTAGAAAAGAAACTGTATTACTAGGGATTTGGGTCTCCATTCCATTCGAGAGCCTTCTTACTTCAACTAGGACTATAGATACACTACAAAATAGCCAGAAGGTTAATATTGATAATTTATATACATCCTAAATTACAAATGATATTTGTATTTCTTTGCTTCTAATCACTACAGTTTCTACTCAGATTCGGGATTGTGGTGTATACTTCAGACACATATGCTAGATCCTTTCAGCAGGCTATCTTAATATAGTTCTCAAATAACAACCTCATGAAGTATATTGTCTTTAATTTATAGATGAGGAAGTTAGGCCTTAGAGAAGTTAAAATGACTTCTGTGAGGCAAGACATTTAATCAACAGCAGAACCTGCATTGGAAATCACAAGCTGGTCTGATTTAAAAACTGTGTTCTTGGATACTACACTATAATCCCCTGATTCTGATGCAAAAATGTGTGAATTATATTAAAGACTGAGTAAAATGATTTATCCTATGCAAGAGTGACTTCATGCTACATTGTGGAGAGAGTAATTTTAAGAAGAGAGTGAATCTGATGCAATTTGTTTTTCTTTCAGTTGTATATTGCTCAATGTAATAGCTATATTGATTAACGATATCCAAACCCTTGAGAAATTAGCAGGAACTCATATTTTTATTCAATGGGATATTTAGACAGTTTTGTTTATTGATATTATATATGACTAATGATGGGAACCATCTGACACCTTTAAAAATATATTGGTAGAAGCAATGATTTTTACAATACAAGCGAAGATCCATTACGGTTATGGATATGCTGAACTAGATTTGTTGCTAAGACAATTTTATCCACTTTGTATTGTATTACTGTCTGTTTAGTTATAGACTCTTCTGTATGATACTGTGGCAAGAGCTTTATATGCCTCATTTCTTTCATCATAACATACTCCTATGATATAAGTATAGTTTTCCGCATTCTAAGGACACAGCTCAGAG